TCGAGCTTGTTCTTCATGGTCTCGATTACGGCATATGTATTGTAATCGTTGCCGTCTACAAAGGTAGCGATCTGGCAGAGATAGAGTTGATTGGATATCTCCTGGTCCAGTTGGGTAATGCGAACGAGCTGACAGAGTAGCATGTCAGAAGCATCGCCTTGGCTTTCCAGGTACAGGAGACACTCTTCGTGGTAAGCGTTCCAGGGGTATGGATTCGGCCTGCGCGTACTGATCGACGAGCTTGAGAGTGCCATGTAGCAGGCTAGCCAGGTACGTCGTGCTTCCAGCGATCCCGCGTCCTGATGCCGGCAGAAGTAAGCTGGAGGAGTGGGCTGAAGCGAGTTTCCCGCGATGCCCACGTCGATGGCCATGTCTGCGGCTAGCTGCAGGATCTGGTAACAACTGCCCATTAGACCTCTTCGCGGAAGCTTGTTCCAGTACGTGGCTATGAGCAGCGCCTGCACAAGTTCCAGCGATCTTTGTCCTCTGCCTAAAACTTCTTCGCCGAGGACATGCATACTTTCGCGTATTATCTCATCGTGCGTCTCTAGATCTAAGCCTTGCGCCTCTTGCGTAGTTGTGTATGCTATAATGCAGAGAAGTAGGATGGGGGCTTTTGTGCGGAGATATTCGAGATCCCCGGACAGGCGTATGACGGGCCATGCCGATCCTGCTCGGTGCGCATAGAGTTGAATAAGGTTCTGTTGCTGGATAGGTGAGATGCGCGCATCAAGGAACGACAAGATGGCCTCGTAGTGGTTGTCTGTTAGGCTACCGGGCGACCGGCCTAGCGTGTTGGTGGAGAGTCCGCCAGGGGAGCGACTTGGCGTTGGGCTGTTGTTACTCTTTTTCTGAAGTAAATTGCTGAGTTCTTGAATTTGCGCCTCCAGCTCCTGGATGCGGTTGCGCTGGAGGCGCGGTGCTGCAGGGACGCATTCCAGGTTGTTGCGGGTGCATCTTTCGCAGCTTGCCGCGTCGGGATTGGTGCTAATGTCGCACTTGATCTTTAGACGATGGCACTCTTCACAAGCGCGAAGACGCTTCCTCATGGTCTTGTCTTCTTGTTTAGCCATGATAGAGGTATCCAGCTGTAGTCTATCGTGGGGCTCTGTCTATGACAAAGTGACTTTACGCCCCGGGAAAGCGCGCTTGGTTCATGACTGCAGGTGGCTGTGCCGTATACCAGTACCAATACAGCGTGGCGTTTTGGAGACGGTATTCGTCCGGATGGCCCGGTATGTCAGTTGATTCAGATGCAGTAGAGGTTAGAGCTGGATGGGAGCATTCGAAACTGTTCCTCGAGAGTCGTACCTTTCGTTGCCATCTTTCGGCATGGTCTTGCCGGTCAGCTAAAATTACAGAACGCGGACAAGTTGCCTGATTGGGTCTTGCCAATTCTGCCATGGAGATAGACGGATTTCCTGCATCATCATGGCATTGTCGAAGTTTGCCTGTTAGTATGACCAAAGCAATGGCTCTATGCCAGAATGTACGGCATTGCTAGTACATACCTAGGTACGGTCGATCAAGACATCGAGTACGCGATACTTGTTTGAGCGATAGATTGCGAGTTTCCGTACGTACGGTACCTCTCACGCGATCATCGGAAAGCAGGCCAGGGTATTGGTATCGCTCTCTGAGCACATAAAGGCAAGAACGGACGCAAATATCGAGAAATTATCTCAATGGCTAGCATGCCAAAGTAGCAAACCAGACCATCTACACCCCCCACGGGCACAGCACCTCCCCCACTCCCCCAGACGAAGCTTGCTCGAAACAAGCTTGGCGGCCAAGACCCCGCACGCTTACCCTTCCCCAGCCTATCGCCATCACCACTCTGCCCAACTCTGCGCCGCGGCTGATGCTGGCGCGCCCGCGCAAGGGGGAGCGTCGTCGTGCCATGCCATCTCTCCCATTGCACCCTTCCCTAGGTACATACCACCGACATCTCCCCATCACCACCCCATCACTCCCTTAATGAAGCCCCCAAAGTCACTCCTCAGCCGCCTCCCCGGCATACGCTGGACACCGTCCGACATCCCGTCCACCTCCACCGACCCGTCGACCCCGAAGTCTAAAAGCCGGAACCCGTTTTCGCTCAAAGCCGCGCCGCCAGAGCACGGCACTGTGCGCCCGCGCGCATCCACCATCAGTCTAACGTCGGAACCGGATGTCGATATGGACGCGCGCACGCACGCGCAGGGCCAGAGCGACTTCTTCACGCGACTGCCGCTTGAGCTGCGGGAATTGGTATACGAACATGTCATGGGCGCGGAGATTGTGCATCTGACACTGAGCACGAAGAAGAAGCGGTTCGGCCATTTCCTGTGCGACAGCGAAGGGGATGGCGGGAGGGAGTACATGTGTCGCGTGCTGGTGTTTGGGAAGAAGGGCGCGAGGTTGTACTCTGGTGGGCCGACTGTGCTGAGGGCTTGTAGGCGCATGTATGTATTCTCCTCCTCTCTCCATCGCACTCACAATGGTATTGTGGAACTGACTGTATACTGCAATCTAGGTACTCGGAAGCGATTTCGTATCTGTATCGCGCGCACACCTTCTCCCTCCTCCACATCACGCACCTTCTCTACCTCCCCGCTTCGATCCCACAACCGCGCCTCAATTCGATCCGCACGCTACACCTGCGCTGGGCCATTCGCGCGCTGCCTTATATGAGTCGTGGTCCTTCGAATCGCGTCGTGTACCGCGACGATACCGCGAATTGGGAGAAAGCGTGGACGATAATAGCGAATATGCAGGGATTGAGGCATCTTCGGGTGATTCTGATGGATCCTAGCCCGCAATGGCTATGGCAGAGCGAGTGGATGGAGCTAGAGGATATGCTGCTGGACAGTGTGAGGATGGTGACGAAGCCACGCGACGCTATTGTCGTGCTGCCGTATCCGAGCTGTAGGACGGACTGGGACATGGGGGAGAGTACGGTAAAGCTGAGGATATTCGGCAACGCAAGTGATGCTTCGGAGGATGCCAAGTAAGACAAGATCACTTTGCTTTATTGCGAGCGAGGTTATTTGAGTGATGTAGGATATATTTCTTCCTTGTTAGGATCTATATAAGGCTGTGCCGTCTACAACCCCATGCAGTTGGCATAGTAGGTTACTGAGGCCGGCCAATCCGAGAACATACCGATGATGTGCACATCCTTGGCCAGTACATCGAGCACGTCGTACATGTCGCCATCGTTGTTAGTGCGGTTGGCAACGTACTGGTAGTAGTATCCACCGCCGTCGATCTGCAGCCATCCACCACGCTCAAATGACCACGCGATGATGTCCAAGTTGTGTTCCTGGCAAGCGATGGCGTACTCGGAAGGCACGATCTTGTTGTCATCATCCAATTTGGTAAGAGCGAACATAGCGGGCGCCATAATCTTAACACCACGAGCAGCGAGCTCAGGGATGCTGGCAGTAGCATTGGCATAGCCCTCGGGAGTATCAACGCGCTCGTCGAGATACACTGCCTGAATACCAAATTCAGGCTCGTTATCGATCCAGTAGAAGACGTCATCGGGCAGGAAAGACTGCAGCCAAACACGGCTCGGATCGATCTCGTACTGGCGGAACTTATCGACCAGATCTTGAGCATACGCCTCCTGTGTGTATCCATCGAAAGGCATCTCAACTTCGGGTGTCTTGAGCTCGGGCGCGTACTTCAGACCCCAGCTGTCGACCAGGGGAATGTATTCGTCGACCGTCATGAGCTTGGGGCAGTCTTGGGCGTATAGGTCAGAGCGGAAGTAGGGTGTGCCGTCCATGTATTCCTCTACCGTGGTGCCGTTGGGGTTGAAGCCATCCATCTTGCCGCATAGGGTACCGAACTCCTCCAAAGTGATGTCCGAGGTGCAGCACTTGACCGACGCAGCAGTGCCATTGGCGGCGGGCGAGAAGGGGGTCGTGCACTTCTCGGCGAGGGTAGTGTTGAGGATGTTGGTCGTGGTGTGCAAGTCGCATTGGGCGTGGCGGCAGACAAGCTGCTTGTCTTTGGTGAACGCAACATCGCATTCGATCAGGCCAGCACCCATGCGATGCGCAGCCTTGTAACTCTGGAGAGTGTGCTCAGGGAATTGAAGCGGCGCTCCACGATGCGCAAGGACAAAGTCCGAGGTCTTGAACTCTTGCTCCGAGCAGCTCTCCAGCTTCTCCTTCAACGGACTCTCGTCCATGTTGTCGACGAGGTAGTAAGGCCGGACGCCGACTTGGACGTTGAACTTGCTGTGCCCATGGCCATGACCATAGCCGTCTCCACGGGGAGCAACAATAGGTACAGCGGCAGCGGACGCGAGTCCGACGAGGACGGAGGTAGCAATGAAAGAGCGCATCGTGAGCAGATCTCAACCCCGAAGTATCCGGGAACCTGCGAGAGCGAACGGTTCCTGCAGGACAAGCATCCTGGCGGCCATGACGCTTCTTATCTGCGCCGGGAAAAGGCCAGAGCTGTATAACACCTCGGATAGATCAAAGACGCCGAAGTACAGGACGCCGCACGGTTCGAGGTGTTCGAGCTGAGCTGTTCAGCTACTGCACGTGGTGGAGCTACCCTAGCTCGAAGCTCTTGGCGGTGCATGATGGCGGACGGAGAACGAGATGGTTGTGGAAAGCTATACGGGACGAGTTAGATCGCCAAGCTGCCAAGTCCACGCCGCTTGTCACGTTGATCAACGATGCGATAAGATACGCGCGCCGGCACAGCGGGCGGAGCAAGACCTGTTCAAGCCGCTGGTGGGTGCTTGGGTGCATGGTTCCTGTGCGTCACCGTCATGTTGTGTCTTGGCTGCGTTTTGCTTCTTAGAGTCTTGTACTCCGACCAGGCGGTGACTTTGGCCCATCGTCAATCCGATTGGCTTTTGCGAGGTCGTTGTATCCCCTCGGCTTGAGTTTGGAGAAGCCCCATATGTTTTATGAGCATCCGTAATGCTCCATAGCCATTCCCGAGAAGCTGCCGTCTGTGTGATTAAGATCGTCCGAGAATCGTCCCTGGACGCGTCAGGACGCGCTACTTTCCTGGTCGTCCCTCTCTGGTAGTTGAAAGACGCAGTTGGATTCGCCGATATCGATATCAGTCGAGCATCGCCAATTTGGAAGAGTGATGACAAAGTCTCTGGGGGCCTTGATTTTCTTGACAGGCTGCAGAATTTCCTTGCTATTCTGTTCCCAGAATTCACCATAGCATCCCTGCCAGAGGTCGAGACAGAAGTACAACTTGATGTGCAATTTCTTGAGTCCAGTCATCTTACTGAGCCCATCCCACAATCTGTACCACTCAACTCGGTGATGCGCAGGCATCAGGTTGACCTGGAAGTATTGATTGCGATCAAGGTCCCATTCGATGTTAAGACTGCTGATTTGCACGATGCGTTGAGGCTGAAAGAAGTAGCAGAGATAGCCTGCTGTTGGAAAGTCTTCCAAGTCCGTGGACATGAAGAACTCATTGCTTTTGTAGAGATATTCGATACTTTCAGAATAACTAAGAACGGTTGTATGTTAGTTTTGTACTAGTACTGCGACTGTGCAATTACAATTGTATCTGACTCAACTTACATCTGCCGACACGTTCTTAGAAGAGGGAGTGCCAATTGCAGCTTCTGGCCGGGTGAACAAGGCATGTAGCAAAGGCAGTTTCGAAGTGTGCACCTTCGCGTCAATAGTTTCCCATCCAAAACTGACGCATGGATCGTCTGTTCTCCCAGAGCCATCTCATAGATCATGCGCCGAATCTCCAAAGGTAGTTTGCTCAAAAGCGCGGAGCGAGGCTGGGCCAGCGTCTTTTGGTCCTCTTGCAAGTCCCCTGAAATGGAAAGTGCGCGTCTGCGAGGTGTGGGCATCGTTGGCAGTACTATCTCGTGCGAGAGATTTCGTCTTCTTCCATGTCGACCAGGGCTCAGAAACACTAGCAAGCAACAGATGCAAGGCGCGCATACTGTCCACATGAGGCATTTGGATGTCTGCCAGACCACTGTCCGTAGGCAATTGCCCGTCTTTCTTCCGGCATTCTCCAGCTTACTCCGGAATCGATTTGGCATTGTCGCGTTGAGAAGAAGGCGCGGCAGTCGTCAAGGATGGCGATGACGACTTCCGTGGCGCACGAGCAGGCGGGTGAATGGCCGCGGAAAGCTCTCTGGCATCTGCAACGCCGCGATTGATGAACAAGGGGCTCTTCTCATTTGTCGATGCTACTCTAGTGGCGTCTCAGTCGTCGTCGAGACTGGAAGAGAGAGGCTACCTGGAGTGATCGTTGTGACCTGTGGCGCAGTCATGGCCCCACTTAGCGGGCAGCCACGATGACGATGACGTACTGGAACCACACGGAGTACGAGACACTGACTTTCTCTTTGCGTGCCGTTCACATACACATCTTACATCTTATGGGCTTCATATTCTTTACGCATGTAAGTTTCTCCAATTATGCTGAATTACTACCAGGAACAGAAGGCGCTCCAATCTTCCAAAGTTGCTGCGCACATCACCCCAAGTGCGCCTCCGCTTCTATCTCAATCTTCATCGTCTTATACAAAGCCACCACTTGCACTACTGTCATGAGAGGCCCATGCTTCTTGCACCTTTCCTTCATATTCCGGATGATCGGCTCCACAATCTCGTCAATCGGTACGGTAACGTAGATACGTGTCTTGTAGACCTGGTCCCAGCCCTCCCCACCAGCTTGACGAATAGCATGTTCGACGTTGTCGAAAGCTTGGTCAACCTCTTTCGAAAGATCGTCTGGGTACTCCTCGGTTGTACGATCCCAGCCGCCTGGATGTGGTCAACATCGGATAGCCTATACACTGTGGGCGACGTACCTTGGCCGGATACCTCGATGCGGTTGTCGATGCGGACCGCTTGGCTGTAGTTGAGATCCCGTTTTGATCGTTCACCGAAGCCGGGATAGTCGAAGTACTGGAGATGTGACATAGTGATCTTGTCAGAGATCAGGATAAAACTCCTGCGAGCTATACTAGGCGAAGCACGATGCGGTCTTTCGATCTGATGCGCGGCTACCTCTTATACTCAACCTACGTAGCATGATCACTCTAGAACTTCCCTCTCATGATGACAACAACTGTCGAGCATCACATTGCGGCGAAGACTCTGCCAAGAGGATATTTGTAAGCTGGGTTTAGGCGTCCTATAGGATTTTCTGCTACACGCAACCGCAGGCTCAACCCACTGCATGACAAGATCTTGGCCGATGAGTTTCGACGGCGCTGAACAACACCCTCGGTGTTTAGAGGCTTAAGTGCGTGGACTTAAGAGATGACATCCGCAAGCTTACGCAGCCAGCATAGTTTCATGAGACGGCCATTGGCTCTCAGGCTAGGAAATGATGGTACCGATATCCCTACAATCATTTCCAACGGGCTTCCGGCATAGTTTCCTTGTATACTACAATACCAGGTCTGCATGGGGGCAATTCTAGTATCAGTAGGTGCCGGAAATGATTGATATTTACGTTCAACAACGTAGCATGTGTTCCCCATCACGACCCATTGGGTGATCTGAACACATAGTTGACACGGTAGATCCTGCAACTATCACTTCGATAGTACAATTCTGACTAACATAAGAGTGTCACAGGTCAGACCATGATGAATACATCTCCAACGCGAACCATCGTCTACCACCACTCATCGAAATCATCATAGTAACCCTCGCCTCGCGGCGGAGATTCCGACCTCTCCCGCCCACCCCAACCACCTCCGCCGTATTGCGATCCTCCATACTCTTCGAAATCATCATAGTAACCCTGGCCTCGCGGTGGAGATGGAGACCTTACATTCCGACCACCCCCGCCCCATCGCGATCCCCCATACGGGCCATACCAAGAGCCTCCGCGCGGTGAGTCTGGATCCAAAGGATACGACATGTACGGACCCAAGTATCGCATGTCTGAGGACGTATGGTAAGGGATAGATGAGTTTTGGAGACTGCCGTTGCCTGGGCCCCAGGCTGAGTGGGAGCGAGCGTCGTAGGGGCGTCTGGTACCCCAGTCTGCGCCGTGGCCGAGACCGGTGACGTTGAAGGGGTCGTTGTTGTAGAAGGGGTTGTTGCTCATGTTTTGTGGTGTTGTTGTTGTAGATGGGGGTTGTTATGTGTAGGAAGATGTGTTATGCGAGGCTTAGTAGCAAGAGTGCAAGAAGCTTTATAGGAGGATATGGTGGATGTGTGTGCTGCTGGCAAGTCTAATTCCGGTATTGTACATAGACACGTTCGCGATGGCCTTCGTTCACTGAACACTTGACATGTTACCGCTCACATTCCAATATACCAACGTTTGGCGAATGCATCAATACACCATCATCCAAGTATACACCCAAACTGTAATCTGGGAGTCTACGTTGTAACACCTACACCTCACACGCCTGTTGTGTCGACGTCATATCCGCCGCCAACATCTACGCTGTTTCCTCTTGCTTGAATCTCAGCTTATGTCCTAGTCAGGCTTGTTTCATTCGTAGACGTACCCACTACTTCTTCGCAGTTCCTCCACCAGGAGTGAAAGAAGGGGCCGCGGCGTTCAAGCCCTTTGCAGGTGTAGCAGGCGAAGCCTTGTCGTTGTTGGTGTTGTTGTTGTCGGCTGATGGGTTCAATGCCTTTCCCCAGGCAGTCCCATTCTTGGGGTACGCGGTTGGCGCGCCCCAGTCCTTGCCGTGGCCGATACCTGTGACTTTCCGCCAATCTTCGGGGTTTCCAGACATCGCGGTTGTTGTGCGGGTGTTGGTTCACTTCTGTTACTGGGTAAGTAGACTGTTTGGTATAGGGTTTATATGGTGTGCGATCGTGGGTATACGTACCTGTATTTGCGATAGTTATTGTTGGAGAGTATCTTCCAGTGGTGGCTACGATCGACGACGAGAGAATGGACATTGCGAGTAGCTCAATGAAAGAGTCAGATGTGGCTTGATCTCGTGCGCATCACAGTAGTGAAGGGTAGCATTAGGCATGGTAAATTCACTGCTCGAACGATGCTAGGGCATGTGTGATGAGTGCAGTTCGCAGCCCGATTACATTAGTCTTCTATGTATCACATCCGCCAGCGAACATCTGGATTAAGCAAGCTCAGTCTAGACAACTACATGTCTTGATTCTGCTGAACGTCGGCTGCCTATGACAAAGCGCGATGATCTTCAACGACTTGTCTTCCTTTGTTTCACCCCTCAATTGTATTTCGACCACTCCTGGCTTCCTTATTCTTTGCAGCACGCCCTTCACATTCCCGTATGAGGTTGTCAATTCCCGCAACATACTCAGGCTGGTTCCTTTTCTCAAAAAACGTCTTGAGCGCGCGCAGGCAATCGAAAGTCTCCACCGGAACGTGATCTTCCCCCTTGTCTGCATCAATTATGCTTAGACAATCGTGAATGTACATCCGCGGCTCAGGCTTTCCTTCTTCTGGTATCATCATCCCATACATCAGAGTGACCAATGTCCTAGTCAAGGAAGCGTATTCTACTTCAAAGCTTTCGTGACGCGGAATGGGCTTCCCTTGGAGCGCAAAGCTGGTATTGTGTGCATATGGCTTGAGCATATTCGCAACGAACTGAAGCTCTTTGAGCACATACTCCCGCTTCTCTGCCGCTGATGCATCCTCTGGATATTTCCAGTCCATAGGTATAGCGCCCCCCGGGGTCTTGTTAATACTATTGTAGGTCGAAGTGTCCAGCCAGCTGAATACCATAGTAGGCTGCAACAAGGCCTTCTCCTTATCAGTCAGAGAGTCGAATGACATTGCCACCCGTTCAGCTCGAGCAGTTTTCTTCCAAATTCGCTCTGGGAGTAGGGACCTGGGGGGTAAAGATTGGATGAAGTTAGGGTCGTTGTTGAGTTTACGCAATGCCACAGCCTTCTCGTAATGAGATCTTTGTGCAGATCGCTCCTGAAGGTATGTTCCCGATACCGATACTGTTATATCGGACACAAGGAGCGGAGTCGAGAATCCAGTCGAGAAGGCTCCGAGCCGACCAAGTAGGCGATGTCCAATGGAGAGACTCCGTAAGCTCCTCATTCTGAAAGAAAGGAGCATACCTCCTATTCCACCAATAATATTAGAATCATCCCTCGTAAACCCCTGACTGCTTTGCCATATCTGAGATTTTGGGAGATTGATTCCTTCATAATGAAGGATGCTTCTTCTGATCTGACTTTCCCAGTGCGTCAACCAAGCTGCCAGAGGCGCAGCAAGAGCAAGAGAATAAAAGCCTGCTCTGGTAACAAAGTACGCAGATTTCGTCGGCAAAGTCAGCAAAGGGCGTCTGATGATCATCCGGCCCAGAAGCAGAGTCGCTGCCGCTGTTGGCCCTAATAAGACCAATGCAGTGGCAGTATTTGCAACACCAGGTTCTTCTGTCTTGGGAATAGCAGGATGTAGACCTTTTCATTAGTGAGAACCTATTTGGTGTGCAAAATTCGATGTAGTCGTCAACTCACCTGCACCCTGAGGCGGGAAAAGACGAACCATTGTCAAGGTTCATCTACGGTCATAGACCTTAAAATGAGGTTTTCGCTGATTTCATACAAGGTTCCAGCCAGTCTCTAGCACGAGCTGAAGCGAGGGAGCTGGAAGACCGTTTTGACGCGTGGAGTTGAGGAGCGATTGGAGATGCGGCGTGGTTGCACAAGTTAACATCCGCATGAGGCTAGATCCCGCGGACATGGCCGCTTACTCATCATCGA